TTTTGTTGGACAATTGGTAAGGAGGCTGATTTTCCTCATGGTTGGAAGTACCAAAACGGGTAGGAACTTGAAGAGAGCATAGGCTAAAGAGATCGAATAGGTAAAACCTGTTGTATTGTGGGAGAATCTTATGTGGAGGATGAGAAAAAAGGAGTCTCTTTGATGAATGTAACATTAGCAGACATGTAATACATTTAGGTCTTTGAAGTGTAATATTTATATCCTTTTTGACTGTGAGAATATCCCAGGAAAACATATTTATAGCTCTGACAGAAAGCTTATCCAGACCTGGAGAAATATCATGAACAAAACATGTACACCCAAAGACCCTAGGTGAGACATGTAACGGGGGTTCATTTGGGAAAATAATCGAATGAGGAATCTTATTTTCAAGAAAGATAGAGGCATGCAGATTGCATCACCCCGATGGTGTATAAGAATATTTGCATTGATCATTAGGGTGTGTGTAGTTTCCACTAAATGTCAATTTTTTCTTTCGAAGATGCCATTTTGTTGCAATGTGTGAGAACATGTATATTGGTGTAAAACTCCTTATGAAGATAAGAACAAAGAAATTTCAGATGAGAAGCACTCTTTGGCATTATCACTTCTCAAAATTTTAATAGTTTTCCCAAACTAATTCTTGATCTCATTGAAGAAAGACATGAAAATAAGCAAAAGTTCAAATTTATCTTTCATAAGTATACCCAAGTACATCAAGAATATTCATCAATTAATGTAACGTGACTGAAACCAAAAGATGTTACATGGTTTGAAATCCAAACATATGAATGAATGATAGTAAAAACCAAGTTACATCTTCTTTCAGTTTGCTTTGGAAAGGAAGACATAACATGTTTGCCTACTTAACATGATTCACAACCTAACACCTCCAACTTCTTAAGACTTAGGACCAAAAGTTTTAACTTAGACAAATTTGGGTGGCCCAAACAATAATGAAAGAGCTTTGGATACAAAACAACAATACAAGACATAGATGGTTGTGTTTCAAATTACTAAAGAGCCTAAGACTCATGTCCTCCGCCAATCATTCATCTTGTACCATGTTCATAAACCACAAAAGAACGTGCAATAACTATTACTGAGCAATTAAAATACTTGGTTAATTGACTTAGAGACTAAATTAAAAGGACAGCCATGTATAAATAGAACATAATTGAAATTCAACAAGGGAGAAATAGAGACTTGACCATCCTTTGGGAGTAACTCTAGACCCATTTGCAAGGGTAATAAGGTGAGGAAATTTAAGAGGAGACATGGTGGAAAATAGAAAATTATTACCAGTTATATGGTCAAAAGCAATCGAGTCAATAACCCATTTGCTTTGATTAGCCATTGATTGGGAAACACAAGCTATTGAAACACTATGCAAAGGATGACCGAGATTGACATGTAGCTTTCGGTTGTAGATACTCCAGGTAATCATCTTTGGCATCCTTCATTCAGATTTTCCAGGATTAGGCAGACTTGTTTTCTTCTCTAGAAAGCCATAAAGAGTGTAACAAATCTCATGAGTATGGCCCATCCTCTTACAATAAGAACATTGAGGACAACTTCCTCTACCTCCTCTTCCTACACAGTTTCCACAAACACATCTTCCTCAAGTAGAAACCATTATGGAAAACTCCAGTTAAGTTTTCTACCTTCACTTCGGTAGGAACTCAAAAAGTCTAGTAATAAGGTTGTCCATTGAAACAATTTCATCACCAGTCAGAATTTGGTCACAAACATGATTAAAATCTGAGTGATAAGTTCATAAAATTAGCAACCATATATAGCCTAGGAAGATTCTTCCTTATTCCCTCAGATGAATCATCGTCTAGAAACATCCTCAGCTCTTCCACTACAACTTGTGCTTTAGCGATATGAGAAACCATATCATGGCTAGTGTTTGACATAAGCTATTTTTCAGGCAGCATCATAAATAAGTTGAATGTCATTCACATAGATGCTTTTCCAAAATGAGTAGCAAGTTTTGTAGAGTTGGTTCTTCAATGTCTTCCTTTTTTGGAAAGTCATGTACGCAAATGACATTCAACATACTTGCAATCTCACAATATGCTTTTCCAAAAAAAAGCAGCAAGTACTCTTCTCTAGGTTGCGAGACTACAAATGACACTAAATGTCATTTGCAAAATATTTGGTTCAACCAATTGCCAAAACACTGCACACAACTTAAATCAAGAAAAAAAGGTAAGGAAACAGTCTCACAACCAACAAGGAGAACAATGGTGATGCAACTGGATTCTGGCAACTAGAGGGCAGCAAGTGGACTGCAAATGCCTACAGAGCTCCTAGAAGGGGTGGCATGTGTAGGCACATGAGAACTTTGTTGACTTCAAACCCACTAGGGACGGGTTGCACTCAACAAGGTGCACCAAACACTAGGTTTGCCGGACAAGAGCGAACAGTGGTGGGCTGGACAGAATAGCAGAGCAGGATTACACCCACTCTAATACCAAGTTGAATATTTCAGTTTTTGGGAAAAACAATGAGTTAGAAGCCCACTAAGGTATTACTTGTATATATAATTGAGAGATAAGTATACAATACAAAAGTGAAGTCAAAAGGAAGATAAGACAGTGATAGAATCAGTGCAACTAGCTACAGCCAAAAAAGCAACTTTATAAAACTTGAACAATAGATAATAGATAGTCTAACTTAACACTACTGCTGGCCTTGGATTTTCCTAGTTAGCAGTTAGCACATCCAAGACCATTACCTCATCTTGTGTTTTCACCCAAATTGTCACAACCTCTTACATATCCTTCATTGCTAGAAAATATACAATATAATACAAACTCCTTTATTCTCTCCACAATACCTTTCTTGACATTAGGATATACGTTTTTTTTCTCCAAATCTATGAGGACCATCTGTAAATTTTTATTTCTCCAATATTGCTCCACCAAATGTCATAACAAGTATATCTCTCCATGATTCATCTCCTTGGAATAAAATCAAATTGATTTAGTAATGTAAGTCTCATCTTAATCTTTGCTCAATTGCTTTTTCCTATAACTTCAATAGTATGGTTGGTGGGCCTTGTCCCCTAATAATTTGCATTGTATATCTCCCTTATTCTTGTAAATAGGAATTCAAGTGCTACTCCATTTGTCTAGCATTTTCTTATACCTCGTAATCTTACTAAACAAATTATAAGCCAAATAATACCTATCTCACCTAAACACTTCTATCCCTCAATGAATATATTATCTGCTCCATCTGCTTTGATTTTGCCATCCTCTTCGATTCTTCTTTTAACCTCCAGCTCCCAAATTCTAAGACAAAAGGTAGAATTTTGGTCCTCATGTCTTTTGTTTGGCCTGTTTGAATGCAAAAAAATGTGTCTTCATTAAATAGCTTGTTAAAGTAACTTTCTTGTCCAATAATAAATTAATTTTAAACCAAGACTTTATCTTCATACTTAAAGCATTTGACTTTATCAAAGTATCTTGAACTTTTTTCCCTACTTTTAGCAAGTCTGTAAATAGTTCGTTCTCCATCTTTAGTGCTTAAGGATTGGTATAACCAAACAAAGTTGTAGCACTCACCTCATTCACCACCTTCATGGCATATTGCTTAGCAACTACATATTTTTCCCAACTTTCCTCACACTCGCTTTATAACATTCTCTTTTAACAGTAACTTTATCTTGTACACTTGCATTTTTTCAACAAGATTATTTAACTTTAGGTACTCGACCTCTTGATTCATCAGCAATCTCATTTGCTACTTTTCTAATCCTTCGGCCATTTGTCCCACATATTTGCAGTTCCTAGGGAAACCCAACATCCTTCCTCCAGAACTCTTCCTTGAAAGTTGCTATAATTTTTTGCCCTTCAATTGTCATCACTTGATCCTTGAAATCCTATCTTGGCTTTTCCTCTTTACTTTCTTCTCAACTCTTGCATCCATGACCTAACTCTAAGTTGGGTAGTCAAGCTCTCCACAGGCATGACTTAGTTAGCAATCCGTGCAAAGTTTTATGTCTGATTTCCTTATAAAAGATAAATTAATTTGCTACCATACACATTTGTGAGTGATAAGATGCCCCTCCCCCTTCTTAAAACAAGTGATGACTAGTATAAAGTTTAATCAACAGAAGAATCAAGGATAGATTTACCCTCTGCAGTTGCTTCTCCTAGATGGGGGAAAAAGTCATATTGTCCTACTAGAAAAGGAAGCAGCATAAATTGTCGTTTTATTATGTTATGGAGCTTCAAACATAGTCAAAATGAAGGATGAAGCAAAATTTGAAGGAAAAATAGTCTAAGCCAGTAAGCCACGCAGCAACAAGTGTAGGTGGAAGCAGATAGAACCAAATCATCCATAAAAAGCAAATGGTTAATCTGAGAGCGTCAGAGCCACAGTCACGTATTAGCTGTATTGACTGGACCAAGAAAGATGTTGACCAGCTCTGAACATATTGTGACAGAAGATTGTGTCACACACCAATGTCGAGAGACAAGAGATGACATGCAGTAGGAATGCATGAAAAGGTAGGGTAGGCTGGTTGATCAAGGAGAGACAGTCTGAATGGTGAAATCAATCAAACTTCAAAGGATAAAAGGACAAAAAATGTGTGAGCTGTAGAGAACAACCAAACATGTGTGATTGGAAAAAAAAAATCCAAACTGATCACTCGAAGGAGTCCAGAAGAAGAAAAAAGTTAGGGTTTATCACCCCACTCACATCTCCTAATAAAATGTAGAAAGATAGAAGGATCTTAGAGAGAGCCCATGTACAGAGTGTCTAGCATTATATGTGTCTTGGTGTTATAATCAGGAAAAGGCAATGTACATTCTATAGTTCAGGAGAACAGCTACGGATATATTATATAGAACAAATAAATAGATAGTTAGTATATCAACCAGCTCAAAAGTCAACTAAAGTATTAGTGCTCCAATCACGCATAACTGCAGCACTAATATCAACTTACACAAATCACGGGTATATTAACAAATAAGAAAACAAACCATTAATAAAAATCTGGCATACTTAATTCTCCAAGCGACATGTATATGGAATCATCCTCAGCAAGTGTCCCCTGAAAATAAGAAAAAATAAAATTATGTGAAAATCATCAATTATGATTATTAATAAATATCTTATCAGAATAAAGAATCATTTCATTGTAGATTATAAAGGCATGCAGCAACCATCAAATCATCAAAGGTTATATTAAAAGGATGTGTCAAAATCTAAATCAATTTGGAGGTAGCATTGGTACCGCTCCACTATGAAGGCCCATTTCACTGTGCACAGTGCTCATGTCACCAGGTACTGAAGAACAGTTAGTGAAATCTGGCCCAAGCAATTCTGATATCATAAGCCCGTATCCATCTTGAGCATCATGTATGTCAGCAGCATTTTGAGCATGGTTGGAAAAACCTTCAAGACCAGTAAACATTGTCTCTGTCCTGTGATTTCAAACACTATATTAAGAAGAGACTAGCAAGATAAATGAGGGATATCAAAAACTATATGCTCCAACTGATATTTTAACCAAGTAACTGAAAGAAGGGATGAAAAAATAGACCAATTAGTCCTAACAAACACTAACTTTGAGGGATTGTATAAAAGAAGACTTAACAAGGCTAACATAAAACAACCGCAGGGGAGGAAGAAGAAAAAACATACTTCCTATCCATGTTGTCAATTGACTTCTCTTCTTGAATGGAATCATTTTCTAAATCAATTACTTCAATCTCTTTGCCATTTGTTGCATGAGTATTGAATTTGCCTGATACACTAGCATGACTCATGCTCAGATCTATGCCTATTGGCACAGCTTTCTTGGTTTCAGAAACTGCAGGGGGGTAAATAAGAACCGGATGATCAACATGATTTTCATGCATTTCAGATGCTTCAATGAGATTCAGATCACAAGTTCTAAATGAATTCGGCATCAGTGGCTTCTCCTCTGAACATTGAAGAAAAGGTCTATCTCCACCTTCTGTGAACTGAGAACCACTACTTATCAGACTCCCTCGATCAGAAGTCATGGTCACTTTGTCAATATGTGAAATTTCATCTTCTCCCGGGCTCTCTTTCACTTCAATAGGGTCACTATGCAGAAAGTACCCCTCAGTCTTAGGGACAAGGGAAGGTAACCATTCTCTGAGTCTCTTGTTGTCCTCCCTCACATCGTCATCAGCTTCCGCAACACGCTTTTCACCACGTTCCTCAGCTAAGGAACTGCAACTTCCATACTCCGGTAGTGTAGCATTAGCACTAGACTCTAGGTTGTTATCCTGCATAAAACCTCTATCCTGACCAGATTGAACTTCCTCAGCTTTACACTCAGCATCTAATTCTTTCACGTCCTCAGCAGCATGAACAGGTTCTACCTCAGCAACATCCACATCAACATGCACAATATCATAACTTTTCTCACCAAGTAAATCACCCGGGGAGGAGCCTTTAACAGACTCATTTTCAGCCAACACTTCCTCAGCTCCTTGAAGACCCCCAACATCTTGTGCACTCCCAGTCCCATCTCTATTATTACCAGCCTTCAAATTCTTGCGCGTAACTGAAGAGCGCGTCTTTGTGGGCACCTTAACAGACTTGCACAGCGAAACTAAATCAGCAACAACCCCACCAGAGCTACTATTCTCCTGATCACTCAACTGGGTAGACAAATTCCTCAATTTCTCATTATCGTTATCACCATCACCATCCTTCATCTCCTTAACCCCAACACTCGCACTCTCCAAATCATTACCAGCACCACCTTCCATATCCACATCAACCACATCTTTCCCTCCATCACTCTGCTTCACCTCCAACATTTCAGCATTCGCCCTATCCCTATCCTTATCCTTGTCACTCAAATCACCTCCATCCTCACTTCTGGGCACAAATTCACTCGAATTCGATTTCATCGAAGAATCATCAACACGACTAACTTCTTGTTGCTGGGGCTGGGGCTGGGGCTGGGGCTGGTGGTGCTGGTACTGGTACTGATCCTCCTCATCTTGGTGTCTAACACTAAATCCACCACCATCATAATCATCATCCTCACCATCCTTAACATCCGAAGCACCGCGAAACCGATCAGACCAAGACCCATTTCTTCTATACTCCCTCCCCCAATCCAACCCATTGCTCCTACTGAAACTGCCCCTCCTCCTCCCCTTCTGCCCGAACTCCTCAAACCCCAGCTTCCTCCTCCCGTCCATGCTCCCGAGCCGCGCCAACGCCGACGGCCGCTCCGCCGGCGTCTTGTGGTTCTGCCACTTGGGCGGCAGCGCGTTGGGCGGCAGCAGCCCCTGGGAAACCAAATACTCCGCCGCGAGCCGCCCCGCCTCGACGAAAACATCGCCTCGCCGGCCTCTCCCGAGCCCCGCCTCACGGTGGCGGTAGTCCGAGGCGTAAAACCCTCTCGGACTGCGTTGCCGAGCCTGCATAGTGGCTTATCGAAATGTCCCCTAACCTAATTAGATTGATGTTGCTCGAAATCTGCAATCTCTAAGCCATGGAAGAAAGCGAGGTTGGATAGAATAGGATTCGAGGGTTTTGGTGAAGTAGTTGGTTATTAGTGGTTTTGATGAACTTGTATTGAGTGATCATGCAATTGCTAAGGTATGAATTCTGCGATTTGGATTTGCTGCAGATGAATCTGCGATCCGTTTATGGAAGGAATTGAGAATTGAATGCAGTTGAGGAACGTTTCATGCCACTGCTACCAACCCTCGTTCTGTTCTATTCCCTTTTTCTTTCTTTCTTTCTTCGCGTGCGCCACAGCCCTAGTCAATTTTATTGTTCCCACCGAAAGAGTAGATTAAAATCTCCCTATACATTTGTAGACCGATCATATTTTATTGTTCAAGGAGTAATGTTTGTAATTGCAAGGGATCACCGATCAAATTTAATACTAGTGTCCACCGCTAGTATATATATATAATATATAAAAAATGTGTAGAAAACATATTGTTAGAGGCTATTACTTATATTTTTGGTTATTTTATAAGTATGACAGTAAAAAAAAATCGGAAAAATTGTATAATCCATCACCTAAGATTAAGGCAATGGAAGTAAAAAACTTGCGGCAAGAATATTTGTAGCTCATTTACCTTATACAAGCATTGATAGGGGAAAATGATCAAGAAATCTACATTAGTGCAATCACCTTTTTGTAATGATGAAAATATCTTTGGGTACACCATCTACAACATAATTAGGATCTCATACTTCAAGTATAGGACCAACACACCTATAATTTACAAATCTCTTGGAAAATAGTAATAAAATATTGGTAAGATATAACATCTTACTTTTTCATAATAAATTAATAAAAAAAATTAAATAATTAATTGGAGAAATATTATATTTTGAGTGATATTTCAAAATAATAATAATTATTATTTATTTGTTTAATTTCAAAGTAGTGAGAGATAATACTTGGGTTTTTGTTGATGAGCAACATAATGGTAAGGTTAGTATTTATTATAAATGTGTTAATAAGGCTAGGGTTGTCTCACTTCACAAAAATAACTTGTGTATCTTGTAATCTGAAAATGAGGAAGAACAATAATAATCGAGAAGAGCTTGGAAATATGACCCAATACTTTAGCATCCATCAAGGTAAGGAGAAAGTGAGAATCTCGCTTCACGTATAGGTTATCCATTTGGTAGCGGGATTGGCCTTCAATCTCTAAGTTGTGTATGTATGTGTGTGTGAGGGGTTAAACCCAAATCTTGTTTTTGATTGTAATGTGTATATGATGTCTCTTTAAATTTCTAAACATAATATTATGTTATAATTGTGTTATAGATCTATGATTGTCTTTGTTTATGAATCTATAAGTGTTTGTGGATTCCTAGAAGAACCCTAAGGATGTGTGTAAATAATTATTAGAGAAATAATTGCAAACTTATGAGTTTGAGTAAGTTGTGAGAATTGGATGAATGTGTTTCAAAATTATGCAGATGAGAATTTTATTCATACCGCCTCGGGCGCCACCTTGTGTAACAACTCAGACAAACCAAAATTAAGAAGGATCCATAGATTGTACATGTGCGAGATTGTGCAGTTGAAGATGATTTAAAGGAATTAATTTGTATTACTTATACTAACAAAATGCATCTACTTTTGGTGGCTCATCACTTAAGAACTTCATAGTTAAGCGTGTTTTGTTTGGAGTAATTAAAGGATGGGTGACCTTTTGGGAAGTTTCCCAAAATGTGTGAGTAAGGACAAAGCACATTGAAAAGTTTTGTATTGGTTTGTGGGAATAGTCATTGATCCTAAAGGCGGCTAACATCTTAGAAAGGGTTATTTATGAAAGATTCTGACCGGTGAAATGTTTTGACCAATGAGAGGTTATGTGAAGTGTCACCATGTGAAGTAACATGGAGTAAAGTCATTAAACTGTCAAATATGAAGGGTGTTATAAATGGTATCAGAGCATGTCCTCTCTCCCAGTACGATGTGGTTCGAGGACGAATCAGGCAGAAGCTGGTGGGCTTATAACAACCTAGACACTCTAGAACTCTCCTAATATGGTGTGGTTTAGGAATGAATCAGGCAGAAGCTGGTGGACTTGTAATAGCCCAAACACTCCAGAACGAGAAGGATCCATAGATTTTACATGTGTGAGACTATGTAGTTTAGTATGACTTAAAGGAATTAATTTGTACTACCTATACCAACAAGATGTACTTACTTTTTGATAACTCATCACTTAAGAATTCCATAGCTAAGTGTGTTTGGCTTGGAGCAATTAAAGGATGGGTGACCTTCTAGAAAGTTTCGCAAAAAGTATATGAGTGAGAATAAAGTACATCGAAAAGCCTTGTATTGGCTTGTGGGGACAGTTATTGATCCTAAAGGCAAACAACATCTCAGAAAGGGCTATCCATAAAGGGTTTTAATTGGTGAAGAGTTTTGACCAACGAGAGGTTATGTAAAGTGTCACCTTATGAAGTGTCATGGAGTGGATCTGCTAAGATGTTAAATCTTACGGGTGTTACACCTTGGGCTTGTTGGGTATGGAAGCCCAAAATGCATGCAACATTGTTGACGTCGAGCACGGGAGCTCTAGGAGCTCCTTGTTGTGATTTCACCAGGTGTAGTGGGTGTGATCCTTCTAGAGGCTCTTGGCCTTGAACGCACCAAGCATAAGGTAAGTCATGTCAAATGCTACCCTATTCTTGAGATTGAATCATATTGAGTGTTTGCATGAGGGGTATATGGTGTCACATAAGATACTTTGGTAACAATATATGTTTACTATCTAGGTCTAAATCTATTAACTAATCAAGGATTCTTTAAATTTTACATCTAGTAGATGATATCACTAATGGAAAATTTTTAGATTGGAAAAAGGCTCAATAAAGGTTCATAACATTGTCATAAAAGTTTTGAAATGAAAGGAGATAATGGAAAAGTCATTGTTGATGCTTGTAGTCAAACATCAAAATAATATCTAATTTCATTAATAATCTATTTTGTCAGACTATTATGCTTTTCTTTATTTTTTTATTTAAAATTTAACTTTAATTAACATTTTTGGCATAACCAAATATTTTGAAGTAATCAAACTATGGTTCAAGATGTTGATTCCAAACCATTAATATTTTAATTATGACAAATCTTATGAACAAATGTTGTAAGCCTTTTAAGCATTTATGTTGCTGATGAGTTTACTTAGTGTATTCATAATATCAATTAAAGTAAACTCAAGATTAATTCATAATGATTCTTAAAATATGACTTAGAATCAATATGGCATAAATATCATAATGAGACTTCAGAAGTAAGAACTCAAAAATGGCTCAAAAGGAAAGACTATGAAGATTATCTGTATAATATTCTAAGTTTTGGGAATTCATTTGAGGAGATATTGGTGGCTACAAAAAGCCCGAAGAAGTGTCTACATTCTTCGTGAAGAAGCCAAGAGCTCATATGGAAAAGATCATGTGCAAAACTGCAAAAGAAGTTCTAGATATTGTCGATTTTGACAAAAGAACATAATTATTGTATTTTATACATGAATTATAGATATAATGTTGAGACAAACTTTGTGGCTATGAACATCTAGAACAATTATCTACAACCTCTTTAAAGAATTCTTGCATTGAAAAAGCCTACGTCATGAACAAATCTGGCAATCAAGATGAAAATGTTGTCTTGAGTTGCATCTCAAACATAGTATAGTATATTGAGCATATTTGGAGCTATAGAGATGCATTTTAGCCAAACTTGGTGGCTATGGAAAGATAGAAGAATTGTATACAACTTTGATGAAGCAATCATGGGTGTCGCAACCCGAAAATTTCTGATCTTGCGACCTATGGTTTAGACATTCTTTTGAAAATTTCATCAATTAAGGAATGCCCAGACACCAGACTAATCCTTAATTAATGATTTTGAAAATAGGTTCATGGAGTCGCCACCAATGTTTTACTCAAAACATTGGAAAAAGAAAAGGTTTTTCGAAGTCCAATAATGGCCTTGATAACCAGAATTGGGTTCGGGGGTCGGTTACGTGTAGTAAATATTTAATTCCCTTTATTAATGATTATTTACATGAAAATTAAATTACACGATGAACCCTAAGATATCTACATGATTGCATTTATTATAATATATGAAATAAAAGAAGAGAAAGATAGAACAAGAGATTGATGAGTAATACCTCGTAACAAGCTTTATTAGATCTTCAACTATGGAGATTTTAAGTGTTTTGCGGCATCCTTTCACACTACAATATACCTCACAAAACTCAAGAAATATAATAGGAGAGAGAGAGAAAAAAATTTCAAGCTCTAAGGAGTCTTGGACGAAATTTTTGAGGCCTTGAGAACTGTGCCCAAGCTATCTATTTATAGGCATCAGAAGGGTGCTAGAACGGCTCGTTCTGGATCTGAACGTTATGTGTTAAATTCTTACCCTGGAACGGCCTGTTCTGAAACCAGAACGGCTCGTTCTAGGGTTAAGATTAACACAAAAATGCATTGCTAGAACGGCCCGTTCCAAACTAGGTTTTTTAGGCTATTTAGCGGTTTGGAACGACCCGTTCTAGTTTAGAAACGACCTGTTTTAGCCTAAGATTTTTATGCCTTTTACCTGGTTTGGAACGACCCATTCTGGTTTTGTAACAGCCTGTTCCAGACTAGGTTTTTAGGCCTTTCTTGTGGCTTGGAACGGCCCGTTCCGATTTTGGAACAGCTCGTTCCGGGCCACTAAAACCAATTTATTTGGGCTTTAGGCCTTCTGATGTCCTGTCTTGTTGTTTGCATGCTTTGGGATCTCCTTCCCTTCATAACAAAGGTTCATTTCCTTGTTTGTATGCCCCCGGACGAAATTGGGTGTCTACAGTTGTCCCTTTTTACTTGTCCTTTGGAATAGTAATAATTTAGAACATAATTATTGTATTTTATACATGAATTGTAGATATAATGTTGAGATAAACTTTGTGGCTATGAACATCTAGAACAATTATCTACAACCTCTTTAAAGAATTCTTTCATTTAAAAATCCTACTTCATTAACAAATCTTTCAATCAATATTAAAATGTTGTCTTGAGTTGCATCTCAAACATAGTATAGTATATTGAGCATATTTGGAGCTATAGACATGCATTTTAGCCAAACTTGGTGGCTATGGAAAGATAGAAGAATTGTATACAACTTTGATGAAGCAATCATAGGAAAATAAGACATATATCATGGAGAAATTATCTTTACAAGATGGAAAAGTTGATATATCCACAATAGCATGATGTTGCTATAATGTTTTGGGAATAACTTGTGATGTACATGTCGCAACAACATGAAACCAATTACTAATGATCAATGATATATTTATCTACAAGTTTCATGAATACATCCTTGT